TGTGTGTGTGTGTGTGTGTGTGTGGTCTTTGTTGGGGTTGGGAATTAGAATGACAGCAGCAAGTCGCCAAGATTCCGGAAAAGTGTGCGACCGCCACATATCACTGTAAATGTTTAGAAGTAATAAGTGTGAGTTTTACTGTCGGTAAGTGTCTAATGATCTGATTGTGGATGTCATCCGCACCCGGGTCTGTATTGCCCAGGTCCGAGACGCATGATGTTATTTCGTCAAGTTTGAAGTTTGCGTTGTAGGTTTCTGTGTTGTTTGAGTGGAAGTTTCGGTGTTGTTGTTCTCTGTTCGTTTTTATGTTTTGGAAGGCAGTGTAATAGTTTGCTTCGGACGAATTTTGTATAGAGATGTAGCTATTGTATTTGTGTAGTCTACCTGTGTTTCTGCTGTGGTGCCATCCGGGCTCTGAACGTGCCGGATGGTGTCTATGCGTCTGCCCAAAATATTTTAGACAATTTTGAGTACTTTGCTGAGTGGTGTCTGACTCTTCATTTTGAGTACGTAGTTTTAGAAAGATTTTCTTTTGCTCTCCCTGAAGTTTCCAACGGTTCTCCGATATACTGCCTTCTTTTTCTTTACGGCATCATCCCACTCCCCAGAGAATCAGACCTTGTTCTTCCGGGGCTTTGAAGATGTATTTAGTATATTCGTGTCTGTAGCACTACCTCAGAATTTCAAAGTTCTATCTGCTAAGTACCTATTTTTGAGAAGATTGACAGCAAAATTCTTTTAATTTCCCAACATGTCAAGCTTTTTCGAATGCAATTCTTCGAATAATATCTTGAAAACGATTCCGACTATTTTTTTTACAATTTTGATAGAGCAGATAGAAATATGTGTTTTCTGACCTCGGGTCTGAGTAACTCAAAACGCAAAACGTCCAAAAATGTCAGAACTTTGTACTTCCGAGGTAGCGATATTTCTAAACGTGTTTCGTGAAACTTGGAGCACTCAACGGTAATCCCGTCCCAGTGTGTGGGGGTTTTTTTTTTTATTGAAATGTTCCGGGATCAGGTTGATTTGGGAAGTGGTCCGTACTGTCATCCAGCACAGACCACTCAGTTTAATTTTTATGAGAGTTTTACAGTGTTCGCGAGTGTATATGGTCATGTGAGCGCACGAAACACAAGTTCTCTCTCTCTCTCTCTTTCTCTCTCTCTTTTCTCTCTCTCCCCCCCCTCTCTCTCTCTCTCTCTCTCTCTCTCTCACTCTCTCTCTCTCCCCTCTCTCTCTCCCCTCTCTCTCTCCCTCCCCCAATCAGTTCTAATGGAGACAAACATAATAAACAATCGGATCCCACCTCTAAACTAGCATTTTGTTTAAAGTGCACAGAACTGACATCAGAACAATTGAACAAGAGAGTAACAATCACGAAAGGAAGGAGAGGTAAGGACTATAGAAGTTTTTGTTTTGTTTTAGAAGAGGTTTTCGTCGCTCGCAACTACTTAAGGTCATATGAGCGCCAAGGGTTGGATGTCAAAAGAGAAGTCCTTACACGGAATCAGACTTACTCTGCTCACCTTTCTAGATTCAATAGCACAAAGTCTGCTTCGACTATCAAGGCACCCCGGAAATAGTGGGTGACAAGAGTGTGACAAACATACAAAAGAAGTAGAGGAAAATGACGATAGTAAGGATTAGGAAAGAAAAAGCAACACTTCCCTGTTGTAGTTCCGGCACAGTAATGAGCATGACATTATTGGATAAGCCTATTTACAATTCTACTGAGAATTAGAACGAGAAATGTCCCCCCTTTGGGAATGGCTTAAAGACACTTCAGTCAAAAGCACTGTCCCTGGGGGGGGGGTATAGATGTTTGATGGGGAAAGAAAAAACAAACCACACCTGAAAGGGATTTTGGGATCTTTTAATCGGTTTGTTCTGTTTCTTAGACTTCTATCTTATACAACAGGTATGGAACAGCGAAATGGCGTTTTGTCCTGGGATAAGGGAGATAAGAGACGTCCCAATGATTCTTCTTCTTTGCATTCACCTGCTAGATTTAAGAGGTTGTCGTCTGTAGCTGGTTTCAACCTGCAGTGTAACTGAATTTTACGTCTGTGACCGGTTTTTTTCGTACTTAGTAGGGCCCAAGGCATCAAAAAATAAATAGTTATTTCCGGTATTCTCTTTAGGGCCCCTTGCCTTCAGATAGCCACATTCCATTTCGAAGGTACTCTACTTTTTTAATACTGACTAGAGTATTTTCGGTTTGGGTAGGACTTTTGAATTGTTCCCTAGTGGCCGCCGGAACCTACTCGTATTGATTTTTGGACCAGCAAGGGATCTTTAAGGTGCGCAACTTGCACACGAGACCTCCACGAATTTTTTCGCTCTTATCCGAGAAGGCTAGTTGTTCGATCGTATCTACCCTCAGATGAGGAATGTGGTTGAAAGACAACAGTAAGAGGAGCCAAGAGTAGCAGTTGAAAGAGTCAGTGCCAAAGGAGAGATGAGTCCAGAGGATGGGGAGAGAGGTGAAGTGGAGAGGAAAGCAGAATGACAGTACATGACCACAGAACATGGAATGGGGTGAAAAAGTAGACAACAATTTAAGAGAACAAAATCTTTCCCTTCGTTGTCAGGTTTTGACCCTGGCACATATTGACGGAGAGGCAACCGATGTATCTCTAAACCACGAGAGCCCTCCTGTCCCAATGATAATTTTGATTGTAAACTCAGAAGCTGAACAAAATTTTAAGGATAGGACAATAAGTGTCTTTTTCGTGGCTTATCTTGAAATGTGAGCTCTTCGATCTGAGGAGACTTCCGAGGCTGTTGGGCCGCTTAAATTGCTATTTCCTACCATGCAGCTTTTTATGTGATTAGACTAGATATCTTGAGATCATATTTGTTAGGCTTGCAGATTACGGTTAAAAAGGTTGGCTTATTAAGTCATTTAATTTTTTTAGTTTGGCATTATGGGTATGGGTCAAAGACCATACAACATAACCTCCTCGGTACGGGTTACGTTTTGCAAGGTGGGTACGGTTTAGGGCCTAGAACACAGTCAAGGTGTCATTGCTGGGATGAGATTTCTATCGTGTGTTTGTGCTTAAAGAAACATTAGAATCTAAAGGACACTATGCAGACAGTGCATATTAACATTTTATTTCACTCTGGATATGAATCACCTTTTATTTGCAATTTTCTATAGCTAGGAGAGGAGAGGGGATGACTTGAGAGAGAGACAGGGAGAGAGAGTGAGAGAGAGAAGGGGGGGGTGGAGACAGACAGACAGACAGACCAACAGACAGACAGACAGACAGACAGACAGACAGACAGACAGACAGACAGACAGACAGACAGACAGACAGACAGAGAGGGGGCGGGCAGAAGCACAGGGAGAAGGAGACAGAGGGGGAAATAAGAAATTAAAGAGAAAGAGACAGGTACATGTAGATACTGAGAGGAATATTTTTAGAGAGAAATGAAGAAAGGAGAGAAGGAGAGATGGTCTGAGAGAGTGGGAGAGAAAGAGAGAGGGGGCGTATGTGCGTGTAAGAGTGTGTGTGTGTGTGTGTGTGTGTGTGTGTGTGTGTGTGTGTGTGTGTGCGCGTGTGTGTGTGTGTGTGTGTGTGTGTGTGTGTGTGTGTGTTAGAGAGAGAGAGAGAGAGAGGGCTAGAGAGAGAGAGGGGGGTAGAGAGAGAGAGAGAGAGAGAGAGAAAGACAGACAGACAGACAGACAGACAGATAGACAGACAGATAGACAGACAGACAGACAGATAGAGAGACAGAGAGAGAAAGAGAGAGTTTCAGTTTGACACGGTATATCCTGTTTTCGTTCTTTGCTAAAGAGAGGTAGCCTCTTGAAGACTGTTGCCGTATACTGGACTTGACATTGGACCATTAACTATCTTCCAATGGTTTAAAGTTTGAATCCTCAGTTCTTCGGGCAGCGTGAAGGCTCCACGTAGGGAGAGGTAGGTCGCAGGTCGCTCTGAGATTTCCTGATGAAGGCGCTCTGAAAATATTGCAGCACAATGTGTCTGAGTGCCTTTGCATAACTATATGTTTACCGGTACAATCTCTGTCTGTCTGTGTGTCTGTCTGACTGTCTGTCTGTGTGTCTGTCTGTCAGTCTTTCTCTCTGTCTGTCTGTCTCGCTCTCTCGCTCTCTCTCTCTCTCTCTCTCTCTCTCTCTCTCTCTCTCTCTCTCTCTCTCTTTATCTATCTATCTATCTATCCCACTCTCACTCTCTCGCTCTCTCTCTGTTTCTCAATCTCTGTATTTCTCGATCTCTTTCTGTCTGTCTGTCAGTCTGTCTGTCTGTCTTTAAATATATATATACACGGTTACAGACAGACAGACAGACAGACAGACAGACAGACAGACAGACAGACAGACAGACAGACAGACAGACAGACAGACAGACAGACAGCGAAAAAAAGAGACAGAGAGTAATGCTGACAGTCACAGTGGCAGGCAATTTAACAGTACAGGCTGACAGTCAGATTGACAGACCTTGAACCATCTGTTCCCATAACAGAGAGCATTGACATCCGACTCATTGGTAAGTTTGGTGAAGTTTTGATGCGTTTCTGCTTTGGTGAAGTCCAATTTTTGCACATACTCCTTGATACTTGTTTCCCCTGACATAAACAGAAAACATCCGGTATGTGGGAGTTTTTGTAATAATAATAATAATAATGATAATAATGATAATAATAATAAAGATTTGGACAAACTAATATATAAAGAAAAACAAACAAGCAAACAAACGGTGGGGGTGTAAAAACATCTGTTATGCTCTTGGGGTTTTTTTAAAGTCCCATCACAAAGATGGACAAGTCGCGTCCAGCGTGTACCCAACTAGGACAGTTGTTGTTGTTGTTGTTGTTGTTGTTGTTGTTGTTGTTGTTGTTGTTGTTGTTGCTATTGATGTTGTTATTGTTGTTGTTGTTGCTATTGATGTTGTAGCTGTTGTTGTTGTTGTTGTTGTTGTTATTGTTGTTGCTGCTGATTCCCCCCCCCAAAAAAAAAAAAGAAAAGAAAAACCACCTGGACTCGACCGTGTGTAAAAAACTCGTTACCTCAGAATTACAAAGTTCTATCTGCTCAATACCTAGTTTTGAGAAATACGGCGTCAATTTTTTTTGTGTTTTTTTTGTTTCACAATATTGTGCCAAGCTTTTATTTAATGCAATTCTTTGAATATCGTGGTAAAGACTCCGAATATGTGTGGTGTGCTGACAAAATGAGTTACTTCTTGGATTTTAACCCTATGGACAGAAATAATATGTCAAATATAAAGATTGAGTTTTTACAATTTATTAGTATGAAATGACAAAAGACATGTTAAACTTGAAGAAAATGGCATCAACTGAAAATCTACAAAATTGACTCAGGTGTCAATTGGTAGCTTTTAAGGACAAGCAGGCTAACCCAGATTTCGTGGGTTTCCAGAATTCTTGACCTACACCAAAAGTGGGCATTGCCCTACCTAATAGGAGAAGTTTGGTTTCATTGGATGTATATTTGTTTGGTTATAGAGAAAACTCTCCTTGTCTTTAAAAGAAACTGAACAAAGGGCAAAAATTTTACCTTCCATTTTCTGAAGACAGCATTTTTCGGGATAGCTCCTTTGTGCTTAAAAGCGACAAATTTTTGGTCAACATCCCAATATTTATTGTGGATTGCGGGAAGTAACTCAGTTTGTCAGAAAGCCTCACATATCCTTACGATTTTGAGAGAGCAGATAGAGCATTTAGTGCTTTCTGATCTCCTGGTCTTAGTACCGTAACTCAAAACGACCTAATGTCAGATAGAACTTTGCAATTCTGAGGTAGTGAACTGTGCTGTAAAACTGAAAAGAATTAGTACCTGCAGGCATGTTGTTGTAGAGGAAACTGGAGATGCAGAAACTGACGGGTAGCTTCGGGTAGTAGAGCAGGAAGCTAAGGCACATCTCGTCACGAGTTCCCAGACCACCCTGCGGCGGGAGGGAGAGGGGAGGGAGAAGGAAAGGGGGGG